AATGTTTGCAATAAAAAACCATTTCATTAGCAACATTAGCAATTTTATGTTAACAATAATATATCAGTAAATGGTTATAATCAACAGAAACATTAATGGGTATTAATTGTAGATTTTCAGATAGGTATAATATATCTACTTTTACTAATATTGTATTGACGAAAAACATAAACAATATTGATAAAAATATGCATATCTCTATATCCATTGACCTAGAAAAATTAAAAATGCTCGGTAAATATATCCCTACCAAGAAAGTCGAATTTGTCAAACAAATTGAAAAAAAAAAACAAATAAAAACTAGAAATTTATCACTTACTTGTTTCAAAAATATCAAAAATACTGTTAAGTACTGAGTACTGAGAACTTACTGATCTTTTCGGCTGGTCATTTAATAAGGGATTACTCAACTCTGACCTCTTGAATCGAATTTCTAAAAAACAGTTTAAAGTTGAAGGTCTGAAATAATACATAATATATATAGGTACAGTATAAACATTATTATATATTTCTTATTCAAAAAGCAAACTTATATTTTAATTGATTTTTTAGATCTTTCATATTTTGTCTTCGCATGTAGAATTGTCTTATTCATGGTTTCAAATTCCTCTTCGGTAAAGTTTTGAAATCTATATCCAATCATTTCTAAAGTAGTAAAAATAAAAACAATCAGTTGTAATAAATAAAACCATGAGAAACTTACCTCTTGTGACAGTAATCTTTGAGGCCCCTTTATGTCCTTATTTTAAACATTTCCAATGATTATATCATTAAAAAAATATTATTGAGAATATACAGGGTTGCTCACCACATACGACACGGAGTATTGTAGCTAAACGATTATATTTTTAGAAATTTCAAGTTTTAGGTTCGATGAAGGACTATTAGAGGTACAATTTAAAAATAATTTATAAGATACAGAGTGTCCCAAATATGTAAAAAATATCAAAGTTGTATTTTTTTAAATGGAACACCCTGTATATTATTACATTTTTAGTTTCTACGATTAAAATAAAGGTAAATTTGATTAAGGTTTATTATACATAATATATATAGGTACCTTACCGTTTTTGAAATATTTTCAATTTTGTGAAATTGCAGTAAAAATTTTAAGGCTTCATTTCTCCAAGGGTATCAAAGTTTCTAATACTAAATATTTACTGAAGTTTATTTATTGATCAGTTATTGTGTTGCAATAATAAAAATAATACTACCTTATACAGAGTGTCTAAAAATTTATTTTAAATAATTATTAGCTTCAAACGGCAATAACTCGTTTAATTTAAATGGAACGCCCTGTATATTTTAGGAGAATCAGATGCACAATTTAATTGTCTATCAAGTTGTATTATACCATTTTTACCTATCCCTTCAAGTTTTCGTAGAAAATGCATTTTCTTATAATTTAGAGCTCATTCATCAATATACCTATGGAATATTGACATTTTATTATTGACACCCATGGAATATTGACATCATATATTGACATTCTAGTAATATTATCGTTTTGCTAAAAACAATAATGTTGTATGCAAAAAGAAAACTATTTAAATCTTTATAAAAGAGTATACCATTAATTAAATATAGCACCATTATTTCCAATATAATATTCAATTCTAATAAATTATTCTAAATAAATGTGGATTTGAGTCTGAAATCAATATAATATTAAGTTATCAAAATTAAAGTCTCTATTGTTATAAATAAGCATTTATTAAAAAATGAAATATCATTTTTAAGGTGTTACTTTTTATCACACTGTCAAATACCCATACTAAATTCAGTTTTTTTTAGTATTTGGAACAATTATTATTAATCAATGCAGTCAGTTAATGTAGTTTGAATACTGGAATCATATTAATCCTCTTTAACAAATATTTAAACAGTTTTTTTTTTATTTTTTAATGAAATAAACGAATTACATCGACAATATTAGTATCTGTACTCTTCAAAAATTTGGTACATCTTTAAAAATAATCTAAAATGTCAATAGTCCATGGGTATATTGATAAATAAGTTCTAAATTACAAGAAAATGCATTTTCTACGGAAACTTAAAGAGATAGGTAAAGAATGGTATAATATAATTTAATAGACAATTAAATTGTGCATCTGATTCTCGTAAAATATACAGAGTGTTCCATTTAAATTAAACAAGTTATTGCCGTTTGAAGCTAATAATTATTTAAAATAAATTTTTAGACACTCTGTATAAGGTAGTATTATTTTTATTATTGCAACACAATAACTGATCAGTAAATAAACTTCAGTAAATATTTAGTATTAAAACTTTGGTACCCTTGGAGGAATGAAGCCTTAAAATTTTTACTGCAATTTCACAAAATTGAAAATATTTCAAAAACGGTAAGGTTTAAGTATAATAAACCTTAATCAAATTTACCTTTATTTTAATCGTAGAAACTAAAAATGCAATAATATACAGGGTGTTCCATTTAAAAAAATACAATTTTGATATTTTTTACTTATTTCGGACACTCTGTATCTTGTAAAATTATTTTTAAATTGTACCCCTAATAGTCCTTCATCGAACCCAAGACTTACAATTTGTAAAAATCTCATCGTTTAGCTACAATACTCCGTGTCGTATGTGGTGAACAATCCTGTATAATACTGAATATTATTTGTGATCGATTTTATCATTAGATTTGATACACTCGTATCCTGGTTTTATCCATGTTTTATCTACTTCAATTTTTAGTTGGCTAAAAGCTAACCTAAAACATAAAATTTAACTTAAAAACAAACTAAACAAAATTTGTTATACTTATTCATGGCTACAAACATTATTAAAACACATATAATAATAAAATTATACTTACATTTACATTCATTGAAATCTCATTCGAAAGGCATAAAACGTGATACCAAAAACGTAAAAAAACAAGTGCATTAACCTAACCTAACTTATACGTATGATCGAAAAAAAAAAGCGTTAGCAATGGCTATGAAAAGAAAATCGCTGTCATTTTATATGTAAAATTATATGGAGAATGTCATCGATATTCATTTCCAAGCCAACTAGACACCGTTTTATTCGATGGTATATTTGTTATATTATTAATTATTATTAACTTCGTGGATCTTTCATTTGAATTTTTGTTGCAATGTTGCAGAAAAAACGTTTTAATCATCATTCAAAAACAATGTTTCTGTAGCAAGGTTTCATCAATCACGACACAACGTTTAGAAATCAACATTACAAAGCAAACTGTTTGGGGATTGACTGCAATGTTGCAAATGCAATGTGAGGTTTTTTGCTTGGTGGGTATTTTAGGACATAATTTATATGAACTGTTTTACTTATTTTTTACATATTACAGAATATGCTGCCGAAGTTTCCGGAATACAGTTCGGACCACCCTGTATATTATCATATCAACTAGTAGACAAGAAAATTAAAGTTTCAAAGAAATTAAAATTACATCTCATAGTACATACACCATATTAAAAAACAAAAAAGTATTACAGGCTGAACCAGATTGAACCCAGAATTGTCCCCAGGGTTTTTGTAGTAGGCAATTACCATTAACAACGGGAGAAAATGAATAAAAAAAATAATATGGTGGCAAGGCTGAGCTTTAGAGATCTTATATAGCCAAGCTTTGGCTTCTGGTAAATTACAGTGCGATCCAAGATACTTGTTTATCTCTTTTTTAATAATTTTAATAACAGGCGTGCTGTATCTGATACAGGAGATTAATAACTCATTGTTGTCTGATGTGGAATTAATGTACAGAGTGAGCAAAGTGTTATTTTATTTGTATTTGGTTTTAACCAAATATAAACAAATTAACAAAAACCGTTGGTGGAAACCGTTAATAACTTTAAAATATTTTAAATACAAAGGAAGTAATTTTTTACACCATGTAACGAAAAAATAATGTACAGGGGTTTCCGAAATATAAAAAAAAAACGAAGAAAAATAATTATTCTATATTTTAGAAAGTTTGGCGTAGAAATTTCAAGCCTCTGTATGATTTAAGATTACGATATTTATAGTAAAGTAAGTATAGACCAACTGTATATAGTTAATACTTAGTTTAGTATTAATTTCAGGACATTTCTTGTATTTCTAATATTTTTTTAATTGTCAAAAATATATTTTATTTATTTATTTATTAATATTTCTGAAACTACCAAAACATATTTAATAATGTCTTAGGAGACTGTAAATTGATAATAAAGGAAGCCAAAAATTCAATAATATACAGGTTGTTTCTTTTAAAAAATCATCCCGATCAACTTACACCTTTTGGGTCACCCTGTAGTAGTTAAAATATTTTTTTGAAATACATCCTAGTACATACTTTATGTTTGCACTTAAAGAAAATTCTTAATTCTATTTAAGTGAAAAATTCCTTTTTCAATTTTCATGGTCATGAAACCACGCCAATGATATCAAAAAAATATTTAAAATCAGATTTTTTAAGATATTCACACATAAATTTTATTCAAAACTTCACACAGGAAAGAAAAAAATAAGTGTCAAGCAACCCCCTAGGAAAAAAATCCAAGTAGTTTTTCGTAAAGTGATAAAATTTCGGTAATAAAAAAGAAATAAAATCTTTTTAAAACCCCACCAACTACCCTTATGAGAACGGTCGTAAAATCAACTAGAACATGAGAAAGAAATTATGAATTTATATTTTATAGCCTGCATTTGAAAGGAAATCTGTGATTCATATGGTGGCCGAGATTTTTATGGCTTTTTTATTACCTTCCTTTATTCTTACACAAAATTCTTGCATAAATCATTAGAATACATGTTTTTAAAGTATAGTAAAACGTAAAATATTATTCTGTTAGTAAGAAACCATTTTAAAAATAATTTTATTAATTTTATTCCAGTTTTCATTAAAGAATTTAAAAAATAATACTGCTGCTGCCATCTAGGGGAACGCGTCAAAAGCTTTAACAGGAATCTCGTCTTTGTTCTACTCTTTCGCCATCTACTGTCGACTTTTTCTACCACATACCGACGCTCACAGCGCCATTTTGAGAAAAAGCGACATGTTTTCAGGGTTAAATGACTTCTTTTTAGTTTCTAACTAATTTATTATTAACCAAACAATTAAAACCTAACAAATCAAGCAGTTCATAACGTTGAAATGGTAAAGGCAGTGGAGAACAAAGAAATAGCAGTGAATTTAGTTCGAGAAATCGTTGTTTCTTTACATAATTGTTGTGCCAAAGGTGAGTCCCTTTAAATCGGTATTGATATTGGCTTTCTCTTTAACTTTCACTAGATTTAGGTCTGAAATACTGAAATTAAGCTAAAGATATTAATTAAGCATAGTGACACTGTTTAGTTTAAAACATAGTAATGTCCGTTGCTAGAGAAAAAAGGCAAATATAAACAACAGTTTTCTAACCTACAAACACGTAAGGTTTGTTAATATTTTGTAATATATTTGTTGAGAATAATAGAGTTTGAGTGTTCAGGACGGTGAGAAACAATAACAGGTATGTATAGAATTAATTTCTTTGCTATATTTTCATGTTTTTCTGGATATTTTCTATAATATACGGGCTAACGTCATTGTTGGTCATGATTGTTTTTTACTGCATATAGTTTGTGAAGATGTTAAAATTTGTCAGTGATAATATGTGTTAACATATGCTAATTATACATACTGAAATCAAAGAGTATACATCTATGTTCATTGATAATTGAATAGTATTTCGAAGAGTAGGTATATCAGAAATTTGTAGTTAATGCATCGACAGGCTCATTACATAGTTACCAAGTTTTTAAAGTATTTTTGATGTATATTTCTTTGTTTTTAATAGACATTCACCTAAAAATAAAGTGTACTAATGTATAAACTCTGTAATTTAAGAACATTGTCAATTTTAAAAAGAATATCTACGAAAAAATTAAATGATTGAAAATTCTAAAGATTATCTAGTAAGATTTAAAAAAAACGGAAAGGCAAGTTTTTTTCCTGCTTTTATCCATTTTTATGTCGATATAAGTAAGTCACAATTAGCATACAGGGTGTCTCAGAAAAATATGACAGAAAAAAGGCATCTTTTGAACTGGATTGTTTTGTTTATAAATTATATTATAACTAATTATGAATAAAGTATGTTATTATAGTCTTGTTTGATACAAATTAATAAATATTTTAAATTATATCGAGTTAATAATAAATAAACATTTAATATTGACCAGGGGTAATAAAACAATGAGTAATACTATTTCTTATTAAAATATTTATGTTTATTGATAAGGGGAAACAATATACACAAATAGCTATACTAATTCTAGCTACATAATATTAAAAATAAAATATACCTAATTGTATGTTATGAAAATATCAATGTTTGTTGATAAAACAATAAAATAATATATTATATACAAAAAGCTATGAAGTCTAGTAATATATAAAAATATAGTTTCTCTTAATATCAGTAAGTATTTTTATATAAATTTATAAATATATATCACAATAAATATTGGTTATGTCAAATTTCACATTATATACAGGGTGGTTCTAATTGTATTCTGGAAGCATATTCTGCGGATAAAACTAAGTAAAAAACGTTCGTCTAAATGTATGTTCTAAAATGCGTCGTTTCGGAAATACAGGGTGTAGAAGTTTTATTTTTATCTGTAGAATATGATCTCGAAGTTTCCCGAATACAATTCAGACCACCCTGTATATCTTATATGCCCAATTATCGAAAAAAAAACTGCGTCATGATAGCTTTTTAAATGATTATCGATTAAAATTTGCTAACCTGTCAGACCCCTATAAAATTTGACATAAAAATTTGTCAAAAGGTTGACTGTTTTGTTTAGGAAAGTCAAAAGTTTATTTTCAACCGTTTTTACATCTTTCGTGATTTAAAAGGCTACTCTTACGCTCTTTTTTTGTTGATAGTATGATATAATGTATCTCGTTTTATAGTTTCTTTGTGATGGATCATTTATCTTTTTATTTTTTAGAAAATAATAAATGACTATGTTTATATAGGATCAGGTTGTTCTTTGCGGTTTTCGTTTATGACATATCTCCTCTTGACTTGACTTTGTACGCATCTACATTCGTTGTAGTCATACAGGAACCCTGTAGAACACGGCGTGACGTCTCTGCATTGACAGGCGCATAATTCAGGGTTCCACAGCTTCCTGGAGTCTCTCTTGTAGCATTTCTTTTCTTCATCTATGTTCTTGCAGGAACATCGGCATTCTGGCTCGATGTATTCTTGGTAGCTGTTGCAATCCTGCCAAATGAAACGTTGAAAAAAATACATATTTTTTAACAGAACATGTGTTTTTTATGTTTTAAACACGATTTTAGCTCCAAAGTCCGGATAATGTTTAAAACTTGTTTAGAAACACTTGTTTTAAACTCTGTTTTAAACCAAGGACTGTATATATTCTAAAGGACTGTTCGATCGTGTCAAATCGCCGCTGTCGTAGTCGCCGTGGAATGCTACGTCACGCGCTGACCAGCGCTCCACAGTGCGGCGGATGGTTATTCTAGCGGGACAAAATCTCAAGATTAATAAATAAATACAAGATAATAAAACTATGATATTATTCGTACATGACACACAAAAACCGTATTGTAAACTATTGCTAAATACATAAAATTATGATATCAAAAAACTCTTTAGCAGTTTTTTTTTAATTAATTTGTAATCTTGTGACACCCTCTATAATTTATTTTAAAAAAATATATTTTATTTTGAAAATAATAGATAAGATAGATATTTTAATTTTAACACTCGGTAATTGTAAATTCATATATAGTAAGTATCTAAGACAATTTTTTAAACTCAGTGCCTTTTGATGGAGTTGTTTTGTTTTTATACTATCCGATTGAAATGAATCTTTTTGGGCATTCACCTGTTAAGCTTGAACTCCCTGAGACTGTGACTACCTGTGTTGGTAACTATTGGTAACTCAAAAGATCTACATCATTCAATATATCGATATTTGAAAAAAAAGTGAAAGTTTGATATCTGCAGAACAAAGGCACGAAGGATTTTAACAAATAATATACGTACAGTAGAAAAGTACATACCTTTGGCAATTTTCAACATAATTTGGCTTTCTAATAAAATGTATAAGCACTTGTAAATATTTTGTTTTCGTATGATCTCTGCCTTGCTGAGCAGAAAACGACAAAATTTGGTTGATAAAAATGTATCGAAATACAAAGAATATTCATGCATTTTTGTATCAATTGGAATGTCTACCATTTATTCTTATCAGTACACAAATTTATCTTCCAACGCACTGTGCGCTCGTCCGTCAAATGCAAAAATAACTGTCACTGTCTAAAATCTTCAGCGCCAACTTCAACTCGGTCAGTAGATGACGTAAAAAATTGACAGTGCAGGAACTATCCTTATCTCTATAGTATCCTTGGTTTTAAACTACACTGGGTGTTTTTCAAAAGTGGCTCACCTCTATTGTACCTTTTTTATTTATTTTTTCAGACAACATAACGAGATTTGGTATGTTAGTATATGACATAAATTAGGATTGATTGACGTATTCAATTGTTTTCGGTCACTTCCTGTTTCACCGGAATTGACGACAACTTTTGATTTTTAAATAGCACCCTTATTATATTTCTACTTTATTTGATAGAAAATGACACTCTGAATAGAATGACATAACATAATATATGTCAACTTTTGACATTTTCGCATATGGTTTATTGGTAATTGTAACATGCGGTTCATAATGACAGTTTGACTCCAAATACCAAGTGGTTGGTATCAAATTATTCGTAAAAAATGCTTTTTCCAAATATGATAATAAACCACACTCGTTCTATTTTAAAAAATTGAGATATGATTAAAAATACGATTTGGACATCTTAACCGGCCAGAACAAGACACTAAAAACATTAGACGATCAAATCTATTTTTCCAAGGCTGCTTGATTAAGAATTAGTGTTTTTAACACAGCCATGGAACTCTAGATTGAAACTTAAATACTATTTTTTTAAACAAAAATGTCAAAAGTACATTTAAAACAGAGTTTTCATGTTTTAAAGAAATATTTAAAACAACTCTGTTTTTATTTTCAGTGTTCCTAATATTTTTTTAGCTATAAATGAATAGGAATAGGGAAAATGGACTTTAGAGTGAATGAAAGGTTTTTGGAAAGAAGCTTTTTGGCGTAATATGACGCTTCCTGTTTTTTTTTATATCTTGTTTTATTTACTAACTTACCTCAGCTTTAACTTTACAGTTGCATCTGCATTTTGTGTGTTTTTCGACTAAAACTAACTCCTTTCCTACATATTTTAGCTTGTTGTTTCCTGTGTATTCTGTTTTCATTACCTTAAAAGAAGAATTTAATATAATTAATATACAGGGTGGGTCAAATTCGACGCTTTTAAATGGAAACACCCTTTTCTATAGGAGATAGACAAAAACTAATATAGGTGTCTGGAGCTCAATTTTCATCAGAAACATGATGGTGAAAACCGCACATCAATATCTGTTACCGTTTCGGAGTTACGGGGTGTTTTTCAAAAATGTGCATTTTTAACAAATCGCTGTAACTTTTTTGCTATGGAAAATTTTGTATTTCTATGAAAACATTTCCAAAGCACCTTTTTACGTAGAATTTAATTGTTTAAGTATAATTTTTTTTAAATTAATAATTGAAGAGTTATCAACAGAAAATTGATTTTTATATGGGACACCCTGTATATTTTTAATTTATTGAAAGAATTTAAAATTACCTTTCCAAAAATATAACACACTTGATATTTTGCTCGATTCCTCTTCGAGATATAGAGTATATAAAAATTCGCCCGCTTTAAATAAGTAGGCTTTGAACGGCACCGGCTGTAATGCAAAAAAATTCTAGCTGTGAGCATCAGTTTAAACGAAAATAATATTTGCTATGAGAGATGCAGAATTTTATAACAATTTAAAATATATTTAACCAACATCAACACATTTAAACTATATCTCATAACAATAACAATAAATAGCAAACCAAGACATGAGATTTTGCTACAGGTGTTCGACATATCGACCGTCTTCTGTTATGGAAAGACGGGGCAGTTTTTGAACATTTCTTGCGGAATTCATTAACTCAGTGGGGGTGAAAGATACCCTCTCATAACTGCTAAGTATTTCTAATTCTTGTCTAGATTATACAGAAGAATAAGGAACCTTTATTCTTCCGCAAATATATCCATAGGATTAGATCCATGGGCACTAAGTCAGGCGGCCTCGACGGCCAACGACTGGGTTCTTGGTCAGCTATTCAATTATTCTTGAAATTGGCTGCAGAAATTTGCTGATAACTTCAGCGTTCAGAGGCGGTGCGTCGTCTTGCTGGAAAAATATGTTTTCGAGTTCCATTAAGGGCATATCATCAATGAGGGGTCCAAAGCCTACTAGTTAAAAGTGGCGAACTTTTAAAAATCTGTATTTCGAAGGGGATTATAACAAAATATCAAGTGTGCTATATTTTTGGAAAGGTAATTTTAAATTCTATTCAGCTAATTAAAAATATACAGGGTGTCCCATATAAAAAATCAAATTTTCTGTTGATAATTCTTAAATTATTAATTTTAAAAAAAATATACTTAAACCATTAAATTCTACGTAAATAGGTGCTTTGGAAATGTTTTCATAGAAATACAAAATTTCCCATAGCAAAGAAGTTACAGCGATTTGTTAAAATGCATATTTTTGAAAAACACCCCGTAACTCCGAAACGGTAACAGATATCGATATGCGGTTTTCACCATCATGTTTTTGACAAAAATTGAGCTCCAGACACCGATATTAGTTTTTGTCTATCTCCTATAGAAAAGGTTGTTTCCATTTAAAAGCGTCGAATTTGACCCACCCTGTACAGCATGTGGGCATATTTTATATTATAATTAGCTAATTCATAGACGTATCTAAAAACTAGACAACTTAGTATTTTTGTGTTTACTACAATACTGATTTTCTATTTCTATTATTTGTCAGAAGAGTTAGCTTCTATTATTTAAAATAAGATAATTTTTTGGCTGTTTTTTGAAAAAAAAATATTTGTTTTAATACAGTTGAAGAGGTTGTCAACTAATATAGGAGTACCTAGTTTAAAAAAATATATTGAAATATATTCATATACTTTTAAGAATTAACAATAATACTTTTCTACTATAAAAATACTAAACTGAAGATATTAGAGCCATGATACTTACAGATAGTGATACTGTCTCTGTTTCTACTGGTTGACAGGAAAGCAGCACATGCGAACAACATCCTCCACATCTTTCGATCCTGGTACATTCAGGAACGTAGAAGATATTTGAGTCGTTGGATTTTATTATTTTTACCGTTTTTAACTCTGGCATACATTTGGCAGGTCTTGCTAGTTGAGTGGAAGCTACATAAAATAAAAGTATCTATTATTGTAAAAATCTTGTACAGAAAGTATGTTTTTTTTGGTCCAGATTTGCCAACCTTACAATACTTGCACTTAATTTTAATATGCATATTATTTTTTTATAAAATCAGTTAAGTACTTACTTCTTTCAACATTGCTTTCCTCGGCACCATCATCAGCGAATCTATCTGAAAAAAAATCGAAAAAAATATGTTAATCATATTGAATAAAGAAAGTTGAGATATACAGGGTGGTCCGAACTGTATTCCGGAAACTTCGGCAGCATATTCTGCAGATGAAAATAAGTAAAAAGGTTCGTAAATTACTGGGTGAAAAAATATACATTTCTGTGGTTTTTTACGTAAAAAATATGTCTTGGTAAAAATCGCTACGAGCAACCGTTCTCAAGATATTTAAAATGGAAATAGTCATATATATCTTTATCATGTCAAAAACTACTTACACAGCAATTTTCATAAAATTTCTCATGTTAAAAAACTCCCAGACACCAATTTTCATCCAAATATTGACGTTACTTCAGAAATTATTTGAAAAAAATCGAAATAAAATTGAAACTTCTACACCCTGTATCTCCGAAACTAAGCATTTTAGGACATACATTTATACGAACTTTTTTACTTATTTTTAACTGCAGAATATACTGCCGAAGTTTCCGGAATGCAGTTCGGACCACCCTGTATATGGTTGGATGGTGGGTTAAAGTGGCGAATATGACTGCTTGTCAAACTCAATTAATAGAATTGCCGTTTGGTACCACTTACTCTGAGACACTGTCCTTAGGGATGGTACGAACAAGTGAAAAACTACCTAATTACTAACTGAAAAATCAAATTTTAGTTTGGCTGTACTTAAACTGCCGTTAAATTTTAGCTTACTAAAATGCCGTTAATATGACGTCGTTGATGTGACGCACTTGACGGCTTTATGAAATATAGGAATTTTATAAGGACTAACCCATAAAATAATTAACTAGAAAGAAGTGTCAACTCTGTGTTAAATCGTGGAAACACGATACGCCACCGAAAGCCTTCGTTGTCGTCTGGAGAACTAATTTTCCAATTGACAGGTTGACATGATGGCTTCATTTTTATTTCCGTTTCCGGTTATTCAATGGCGGGCCCTCTTTCAGTTTAAATGTATTTTGTACTCTTTCTTATCATAAATAAAACAAAACAAAATTTTATTCAAACATATTTATTTGAAATATGAGACAACGGGACTAAATAAATATAAAAAAATAAAGAATTGAATGATTTCTACAGCAATTACTTAATTATATGCAATTTTAACGTAAATTGGTAAGGTATAAGCATGACTTACAGTAATTTATAAATAAATACGCGTATTCACAGCCATCAAGGATAGAAAACGGGGGAAGACATGAAAACGGGAGCCTTATACAAAAATCTGAAAACAGAAAAACAAATTTTTTTATACTAAAATTAACAATGTAAAAATATCAAGGTATAAAATATAAATATACTGTTTAAAAAAAACGTCCATTATTCCCAAAGAGACCTGGTTTGTAAATCAAAAAGAAGCAAAAAGAGACTTTTAGTCAGATAACATTCAGATTGTATCAGTCAGATTTACTGTGCATTATTGACAATAAATCGCACATACTGGAGATAACTAATGTTGGCTATAGTTAAAAATGATCTTACCTTGCTGTAAATTGTTTCCATTTTCAAAAAAATCGCCGATCATAAACATAACAAAATTTTCTTGCATCTAAAAAATACAGAAATAGTGTTTATTTACTACCTATTTTTAATATACATGGGACATACCTAGTACTGCAGAAACGTCTTTTTCTCCAGGATTGTTCATGTAATAATATATTTTATATGCTTTACTACCTTTATATTTATAAATTTCTGCCGAAATATCAAATTGAATTTACAAAACAAAACTAACCGGAGAGAATTAAAATGGCGTCGAAATTTGTTCTAGAACAAATCTGAAGTTGTCTCTGAAATCTGTCAATTCTAAACTGTGAAGTTAGACAATAGTTAGACAGAAACATTGCTGTCCTTGTCTAGGCGGCCATACTTGTCGTCAGGAGATGACAGGATTGACACTAATGACTGTTTCCAATTTTCCTATTTCACTGTCACCCCCCTGGACTAACCAACGCTATCCACCCCACCAAATAACCAACTTAACCAATGCAACTAACCTGGACACTGATAAAAAATATAAAAAACAAATATAAATTAGTAAAAATCAACCAACCCCACCAAATAACCAACTAACCAATGAATTAACACCCTCCAAATAACCACGCTAACCAACCCGCCAAATAACTAAACCAATCCAACTAAAAAGAGTGAAACCAATGCAATAAGATCACGCTATAAGCAAAAAAATATAAATAAAAGTCTTGGTCGGCGTGAGATTTAAACCACGGACCATTCGCTTACGAAGCGATAGCCTCAGCCACTGACCCACAGGTGCTCTTGCAGAATGCTTAAGACCAGGCATTACCTTCCGCCGACATGAACGACGTCACAATATCTATTAACGGCATTTTAGTTAGGTTTTCCGTTTAACGGCTGTTTAAGTACATCGTTTTAGTTTTTATAAGAAACATCTGAGTATGTAAAATATTAATTTTGCCATATTATTTCTGGAAATGACAAAGATAAGTCCATTTACTTATACCGTTAATCCTTGTGTTCATTGATAAGCAACTTTGTCCCAATTTGAGTGCCACCCTGTATTTATTACCGTTTTCGAAATCCCAATGGTGAGTTTCAAATTTGAAACAACCGGTATATTCGAATCAAAAAATTAAGTCTAAATATTAGAGATATAAAGATTTGATTGTATTATTTTTATTCCAGAACCATTCCTGTATAATAATGAATAGAATCAAAACGACAGAAGACTATGTTGCCGCTCAAAATTTACTGGACTTCTTCATGGAACTCATTGAAGCCTCCAAGAATCTCCTGAAGTACTACCTGTCTGAAGATGTGGTGCTTGATTGGTTCGGGCAAACTGTTAGGGGACAAAAAAACGTAGCTTCCTTCATCAAAACCAAAATCAACCCTATAAAACATATTTTATCTGGGGCCAAACCCGTGAATAGGATTGGATTTAGGGATACCCATGTAGTTACTGTATCGAGGTAAGGAACTGAGTACTATTCCCAAAGAGCCCATGTTTCAAAATTTAACTTGCGCGGAAAAGAAGGAAAATGAATAAGATTAAAAATAAACGATATCAATTAAAGAAAAGAAACATGCGAAAAGTTATTAAATAATTCGGCAATACATTTTAATACATTCAAAATAAAAAGTTATTTTTGGTAAACACCAGTGCGTTTATTTTCTACTTATTTGATTTTGTATTTTCTGTTATCCCACACGCTTAAGGCGGATTCTCACGACTGGTCTACTTGGCAAGTACGCCAATATTTGCATACTTGGCAAGTATCCCCACCAGTCCCCACTTTGTACTACATTGGCAAGTACGCCAATATTTGCGTATTTGCCAAGTACCCCTACAATCCTTGGCAAGTAAACAGTATAATCGCATCGATGGATACTGGTCGTCCCGAAATTGTCGTTGCTAGTGATTCTTTTTTCTTTTTAAGTTCTTTTACTGTACACTGCAATACGATTTCTATGTTCTTTATGTTTGGCCATCCATATGAAGGGCTCATTCTCGTATAAATCCATAAATTCCAAAACAACATCATTTGAAGACTACACGGGAAAACCCACTTTTGTCCATTTTAATTGGAGCCGAGAAAAATGCAATTTAGTGTTTTTAAAGAAATATGTTATTTTCGGTTGAATAATTAGAAAAAATATTTATATTACTACCAATTCTGAATTATTAATATTGTGAATTATCGCCATATTCTGAAATATTGAAATAAAAAATCTAAATAGATAATCTAAAAAAATAGTCAAAATGCAAAACAATACAGGGGAAAACCAGAGATGTTCAATTAAATAAAGGTTGTATAAAACCTAAATCTAAACTATTATTTTTTTGTTGAAAATTTATATTTAAGTAGGTTTTATTACAATACATAAATTTATAACCATATTGATAACGAAAAAATATTCCGTATATACGTACATAAATTAATTACGTATGTGTATACCTTTAAGATCGTTACATAAGGATAATATTTTTCTATCGATCGTGTCAGATGATGTTTTGAGAGATTTGTTGATTCATCTATGTTTTTCGGTCAGTCGAGATTATTGTTGTTTATTGTAAGTTTCGGCAAGTTTCGAGCGGAATAAATTTATTGTGTTTTGATTTTCGACGTTTATTTTCTGTAATATCCCTTGTTTTAATAATATAGTACTAATTACAAGATGCATGCTTGTCGCCCATGCATAAGTACATCTCTAGTTTTTGCCATTTACGCGTGGACTACTCTGATTTTTCCTTTGTACGGCAAAATAACCAAGCTGTAATATCTCTGGGACTAAGCGTATTATTGCTTTCTTTTTTCGAATGACGTTAACATTTGTTTATAAAGTTGTATCGCTATCTTAATTTCTATGAAAATGTGACATATCTAGTTTTTCCCGTGTAGTCTTCATTTGTCCACTCCATTTATTGCTGTGAAAACGATTTAGGTATGTCGCCAATATTGAAGTTATTAATGTAAATTTGATATTACATAATCTATTATTGTTTTACCGTTTTAAATTATCCGCAATTAACTCGAAAAACACTACGATCCGGAAATAAATCGGACATACGCTATAACAGTAACATTATTTGCGTAGTCGTTTTTTTGCGCCTCGGCCAGTGTAAACAAGGCTGGCCCAGGCTGGCCAATGTTTGGCAAGTGTACGATTAATCGTTTCTCGGGCTATATTTACCGACAGAGAGTGGGGACGCGACAAGTGACCAAGGAACCCGTTCTCACGACATGGCAAGTATATTCCAATATCAAATGTTTGTCAAGTACGCCAGTCGTGAGAATCCGCCATTACAGTCACAAATAAGGTGTCTTACTACTACTTAAGTCTGTCAAAATACAATTTGCTTGTGAATTAAAATGACAGACACAACTGTCACTCTCAGTGATCCTCTTGTTGGGCCGGCAAACTATAGCCTTGATATAGAGCACATGGCAACCAGATAGTATTAAAATTTGGTTATTAATACTATACCATCCTGGACACGTTACGTAGATAACGTGAACATATAAAATGACACCAACCATAAGCAAATCGTATATCCGATGAACGGAGGCATGAAAATGCAATAAATTTAAAAACTGCGTAATTTTCTAACCATTCGAAGTTTTTAAATTCAACCAATAAAATTAATATCGTATCGTCGGATAACGGATACATGAAAATCAAGCTTTACACGTTAAAATCTAGATCTCGCCTTTACAATGACTCTATCGGTAGATTAACAAAGTGTTCTGTCTGAAGTATACTGAAGAATATAATTTAAAGTTTGACTATAGTTTTATCGAGTATGATTTTTCTTTTCCAGGCCTCTAAGGAGAACCTTACGTTCAGCCTTCCTAAGCCCACCCCGTATTTCCCTCCCCAACACCCCCAAAAAACAACCAAAACCCTCCACGAGCACCAATCGCGATCCCCCACCCCCCTCCTCACGCCGAGGCATCAACAAACTCAACTTCGACAACAACGAAAACAACAACATCGACGCAGACACCAAAAAAACACCCTCAAACACAAACAACAACAACGCCATCTCCCGCCCACTAGAAGACTCACCTCGAAAGCGTCGCAAGCTCTCGCCGAAAGATGGCGATACGGACGTGGTCGAAGAGGAACCGGAATTAGAGGGACCGGAAGTGACTGTCAAATATTTGACGTGCGAGGGTCACGTGGAGTTTCACAGGCCGAGTTTGAAGAAGTTACAGGGTGAGACGAAGTGGCAGAGGCCGTGTAAGTTGCATTTGGCTTACGATTGTGGTAAAGATGTGAAGGATAGTACGTTTTATTTGATTATATACGAGGGGAACGTGAAATGTCGGAGGAATTTGATGGCTGCGTTTGAGACTGACGAGCCGGAAAGTTAGTTTTTGGGTTTTGTTGTAAAAAATAAGAACTTGAGTTCAGTTTGTTGGTAAGAGATTTTGTTATGATGCAGATAGAAGTTTTTATTTTGCATTGTGGAGAGAATTGTTTGGTCTAATGAGAAAAATGCTTTATTGATTCTTTGTTAGGTGAGTTTTTACAATAGCAGGTTTATGGTGATGTTGAATTCATGCGATATAAAGAAAGAAAATAGATTGTTATTGGGGGGTAAAAAAATATAAATCAAATGTATGAATCAGAGAAAACTGCAAAGTAAGCTTTTAAAAATTCAAGCTAGTAGTATTTTTTATTTAAATAAAATTTATTTCAAACTCGAATTTATCACAGTTTTTCTTTAAAATGTTATTTATTTTATAACAACAATATTTAATATAAAATAGACCAATAAAATTATAAAGTGGCGATAAATTTTGATTTTTTATACAGTATGTCCCCAGATTGTCTTTACAAGAGGAAAATCTATTTTATTATTAACTTTTTGAGTAGCAGTTGGCAAACTCAAAAAGAAAATAATAAAAGAGTTTATCCTCTTGTAAAGACAATCCGGGGACACTATTTTCCGAGATATTTTCATTAAATATAATCAAATAAAATTTATTTCGTGTGAATATTAAATTTGGTTTGAAATGGACCCACAAATGGATCACATTCAGTGTAGAATTTTGCAATTTGTTTTTACAAATTAATTATAATATTTTCTTGTCCATCTGGCAACACAGGGCGTCGAATAAACTAAGTGCCGGTGGTTCTCAAGAGAGTTTATGCGGTTTTCATTTCTTTTATACCGGGTGCGTCTCAAAAGTTGCTCACCCCCTATAACTTTTTTATTCTTTCAGATAAAAAAACGATATTTGGTATGTTAGTATATGATATAAATTAGGATTGATTGCCGTATTCAATTGTTTTTGGTCACTTCCTGTTTCACCGGAAATGACTACAACTGTTGATTTTTAAATCGCACCCACGGTATTTTTTTACTTTATTCGATAGAAAATGACATTCTGAACAGAATGACATATCATATGTCAACTTTTGATCTATAGTGCCTATGTTAAAAACACTAATTCTTAATCAAGAAGTCTTGGAAAAATAGATTGGATCGTCTAATGTTTTTAGTGTCTTGTCCTGGCCTGTTAAAAGATGCCTAAATCGTATTTTTAATCATATGTCAATTTTTTCAAATGGAATGAGGATGGCTCATTAGCATATTTGAAAAAAGCATTATTTTACCAATAATTTGATACACACTTAGTATTTCGAGTCAAATTTTCGTTACGAACGGCAAGTTATAATTTCAAATAAACCATATGCGAAAATGTCAAAAATTGACATATGATATGTCATGCACAGTATTATTTTCTATCGAATAAAGTAATAACTACCGAGGGCGCCATTTAAAAATCAAAAGTTGTAGTCATTTCCGGTGAAACAGGAAGAGACCGAAAACAATTGAATACGTCAATCAATCCTAATTTGTGTCACATGCTTACATACCAAATTTCGTTTTTTTATCTGAAAAATTAAAAAAGTTATAGGGGATGAGCCACTTTTGAGACGCCACCCGGCATTTCTAATATTAAATAACTCTGTTGCTTTTAATTTATTTTCACTTACAATCAATAACCCGTTAAAATAATTGCAATTCTTTAGGTATACACCCTGTATAATTATTAATACCGTACGATCGATAAAAACGAACGACATCAGAGTTATTGGCTTAGAAGATAGAAAAGAAACTTGACGCCTATATTTTTTCGACTATACGGTATATCATGACAATGTGATGATAATTTTAGAATTTGCTTAACTGCCGTAGTTGAATCTACTTGATCATGCATATTTTTGATCACACTGTATTTTTGTTGTCGTACATCACCATAAACTGCTAACGTATAATATCAAATGCCGTACTTTTAAAAAATCTATGTATTTCGAAGATTTTTGATTTATTTAGTTTCTAGTATTTTAGATATAAAATAGTGCAATTGTTTGCGGTCAAACTGACGTATTCTGAGACTAGTCGTGTTTGAATCGTCTCAAAAATGTCATAAAATAAAATCAAATTACTTTTTTTAAGTTTATATTATTAAATAGAGACTTGTATATATCGATAAAAAAGTTTCAACAAAAAAAATTAGCTGGAAATTTTAGTCTTTTTATTGTAATATACTTTTTATTGTACTAATATTATGAGAAGTATTTAACATACCTGTATTGTTAAATACTTCTCATAATATTAGTTAGTGATGAGAGTGAAATTTTTAGCTGATCTTTTTATAATACCTTTGTAACTATAGATAGATTTTTTATATTTTTGTTTATTTCTCAAGTGATAATGAAAATAAAATAAACAGATAAGAAACGAAAAAAAAACTAAAAGAAACAGTGTCACAGTAGCCTTTATAAACTTTAAAATTAACGTAAAAATTTGTCTATTTTTTTGTTATATCATTTTTAATTTAGACAAAAATCAGCACAATCTTGACAAGGTTCAACATAAATTGTCCCTTCAAAGACCACTGTGACGCCGTTTTTTTTAGTCTTGTGATTTTGATAAATTCTGTTTTGGCTTTATATTAAATAGATATAGTATTGTTAAACTTCTCATATTTAGTTTCTAGTTTCTTGATTTAGAATGTAGATTCCTTTTTTATTGTTTCTTAAAAAAGACACTTTTTGTAGAACTAGAAAGACTTTTGTTGATTATTGATTTATTGCCATTATATTGTTATAATGATGTAACATATATGGGATATTTTTGTAAGATTTTTTGTAGATAAAAACATGATTTGTATATATTTTTACTTGCTTTATTATACCCACAACTTTCAAACCTTATTCTTTAAAAATATTATTAGTCGAGTAAAGTTTTTTTTGTGGGGGTGCCAGATATCACCAAGCATTGTCATACACAATTTTAGTCACGTTCCATAGCCCCTAGATCATCCTTGGATGCTGATATTTCGTACCAAATGGTCAAGGTAGTCCATTATATCAGGGAAAATGGACAAGAACAATATACTCTGATATTACAGGTAATTTTGAACTCTTTATCATTGATTTCCAACTTCTCATTGATGTTTGTTACTATGCAGTTATCATGCAATTTTCTTTTGTTTATGACACTTTCAGGAAATCCCAAAAAGCGGAAAAAGCCACTCGCAAATAGTTGTTTTTTTTTATTAAAATGCCTCTAAACAAATACTTCAAAAACTTACTGAGTTACTTAAAAAGACTAAGAACAACTGTTAAAAGAATCTTGACAAATAAGCTATAGCAGTGAAAATATGAGGCTTGTTCCAACCCCAAGTTTTAGAACGGTTCTGGAACCGTTCTGAAATCATTGGAACTAGTCTTATCCGCATGCGTTAACTCGGCACTGTTTTTGAACGATTCTAGATTGACAATCGGTTGGAACAGTTTCGGAACCGTTTTTAATCTGTCTTGTCAAAACACCGGTTAAAATAACCTTACTTTTGGTTTGATGTAAGATGTAAACAAAACAAACCTTAATAATATTCTTCACAGATATTCTTATTAATTGTATAGAACAGTGGAAACTGCAAAAAGTGGTAAATTACTACCTACATTAATAAATAATGGACACAAACCATAATTTTGGTAAGTTTCACTTGGTTTACTATTCGTTTTTTTTTATGTAAAGTGCGAAACCCTGTAAAATGTTAAACCCTAGCTAAGTTAAATAGACAATTTCTAAGTATAGAAAGAATTCTAAACACTAAAACCCATTAAACTCCAAACAAATCCACAAAACCAAACAAGCAAACGCCCCGGCCCAAATGTCAATCAGCTGATAAAATTTACTAACTGCGCATGTCAGTACAAACAATTCCCATTTACTGGCAAGTATCGAAATTACGGTTCCGAAACCGTTTTAATAACCGTTTTCAGAAAATTGGTTGGAACGCAAAGAGAATCGTTCGAGAACGATCCCCACCAAGGTTGGAACATTTTCAGCCCTATGCGCATGAACGGAACCGTTCCTGAACGGTTCTCAGCGGGGTTGTGGAACAAACCTATGGATGGGTTTGTAAAAATCTGAAAATTTTTGGGCCAAGGAATGGTTTGAACGGGTTTTTTATTATCATAAGATATGACAAAATTCAAACAAGGTCCAAAATGTGATAACTGTTGATTCTACCTTTTAAATGAACTTTGTATCATCAAAAAATATGAAATTTTAGCCAATTTATTAAACAATTTGTCCTGTCAATCAATGATACGGTTACGAAATATATCTGCGGAGCGTTAAGACTTGGAGAGAAAATTCAGAGATCTTCGAGGCGGAATATCTCGAAAACTACTAATTCTACGTATAAAATGATAAGGACTCTTTTTATAGGTAGGTAATTACCTAAGCTTCATTTTTTATTTGAAGCAAATTTTTGTAAATTGCATATTTTGGCAGACATTTGGGAAAACTGATTTTTCGGCCCATGAGCAAGGTGTTAAATTTTTTTTCCCTAAAACTACTCTCCTTGGGTCTTTCTACTACTCATATTACGCTTCTTAAGCCCCTTCTACACATGAAGTTTTACCGGTCTTACATTCCCAGTCAAAACGTATCAACTCTTATGGTGTCTTCAACATTAAAGAAATCAACTGTACGGATGTGGAGAAGAGATTACTTTTAACAAAACAAAATCTACTTACTGGCAATCTGTGGCTGGGCTTCTGGTAGATTATCTACATAATGCAACAGCAGATCGCTAACATTATACTCGTTTAGTGTTTTGGCAAAGTCCAAAGGAATCTGGAAAAACAATTGAATTTTAGTCTTCATGCTTACTTTTACTTTTCATGTTACTTTTCTTTAAAAAAAATCAACTCAGTCTTATTTTTTCTTGTTGTTGGTCATGTCAATTCAATGCGATTTATTTTTATTTATAGACAAAGAAATTAAAAGTATTTAAACAAATTTTAATAATAAATACAAAAGAGATGCTTAGTATGCCTCATTTATATTTTTCAATTCCAAAAAGATGTAGAATGTGTGGAAGGGTGTTTAACAACCGCGACCTTAGAGATCTATTGTGTTCCCATTTTTTGAGTTATAACTCTTCCGGATACCCCCTCCCCCTACAACGAAAAGGAGAGTTATAACAGTAGCGGCTCGTGACCATTAGAACTGATGAGGCGACGTAAACGCGGACGAAAACAAAAAGACGGGGGTCCTAAGCTGCAACAACAAGTTTAATTTTTTGTTCCTCAGATTAATATGTTTGAAGGTTTAACCTACTAAAAATGTCATAAGAACTTTTTTTTGTTTTTATGTGTTTATTTTCTTTTTGTTTTTTTAAGCAGCTAAGCAACAATAAGCTAGAGATTTTTTTTGCTCCTCAGATATAATAAGTTTGTAAGCATAACTTATTAAAAAAGTCATCATTGGAACTGTTTCTTTATTTTTTTTCTTCAGAGTATAAATAATATAACTTAAACATATATTAGGTATTAGCTAACTAATCTAATGATCGTAATATAACAGCTCTAATTTGAGGTTTTCGTTCGGTTAGTAAGACGGAATTTGTCACATCAAGCTCTACGACGCGCGACGCGACGACATAAATAGGAAACAAACAAGTAAAATATAGTTAAAAAATGTAATTATATAAGAATTATTCCTTGTAGGTTAAGTTTATTCGTCTGTGTTTTATTCGTCCTATATATATATTTATATTATGTATACTTCGTTCTCACTAGGGGTAACCAACAGCTCCTTTTCAATTGAAAATAAAGACAAAGCAGAAAGTCTATCTTGTAACATTGTATTTCTTAAGTAAGATTTTATCCGTTTTAGACAAGAAAAATCCCGCTCGACTTAACACTTGTAATCGGGATTGTTAATTTGCCTTTTTATCATTTGTTATAATAGTTATCTGGGGAGTAGGTCTGTTTTCCTGTAAGACCTCTCGCTTTTCATCCTCCTGTCTTCTGGAAAATGGGGTTTCTAGAAGGGACATCACAATGTCATGTACATGATTCATTTTAAAGTCTGATTATTACAAAATAAATCACTAAACTCTGAATTACGGCTAGATCACACTACTTGCTACTCACAAAAAGCATAAAACAAACCGACCGAACAGACGTGACGTTTAGTAATTCCCCGAAATATCTAAAGTTAATTATTTTGACCAGTATTGCGTGGATGCCAAGAGTTCGTATTATTCAAATTTATTCTATACTCTCTTCGATATACGATATTATTTCCATAATTATTGATGGGGTATTTCGTGAAGATCAATTAAAAGATTAATTTTATTATTTATTTTAATTACAAAGAGCATTATAATACCGCATTATCCAGCCATATCAAGCACGAACTATTTTTGAACAATCAAGTTCGTAAAGAATGGATTTTTTTTTCATGAATCTGGCAACAGCGTTGCACTTAAGCGATTTGGCTGTCGCCTCTGCAGCAGCTAATTTCACGCTTTCCCTCCGCTTCCCCGACCCACTGATTTCAATGTGTGACGTTTTAGTTCATTGATAAAAAGAGGTCGGCAGAGGCGGCAAAAATTACGCCTCAGGAACGCAGAACGAAAAGATGCATTGTAGTCCAGTTAAAACAGAAACGATATGGCGCGATCGGTTGGTTTAGACCGGTCGAAAAGTAAAAAGCTTGGTATATTTTAATAAAATTATTCAATATTAATATTGCTATAATATAAATATACGATTAGCTGGAAATAAATTTGTGTACTACTGAAAGATAGAATTTCGAGGTGAGGCGGCGCCTCAGTTGCCGCACCTGACGGGCCGCCATTGAGTTATAACTCTCCTTTTCGTTGTAGGGGGGACAGAGGGTATTTTCCATCCTCTCACAACAGATGTTCATCCTCAAAGGAGTGGACATCTACCTCCTACGAGGGTATACACGACCCTTCCACGGTTGAGGTTTAGCCCTCCGTACTCTTCACAGTCGAGGAGCTTGTCTAGTCATATAGATACCTACTGTTATGTAGAAAATATATAATAATCGAGGGCGCGATTTTTAAATTCCTTGTTGCCAACCATGGACATATTCGGCGCCTGGTTGACTAACTGGAATTTAAATTTCCCGCTGGGGATTCAGGTGGTAGCTCCGCTGTAAAAAATGTCAAGTTTCTACATTTAGTTACTTATTTCCTGCCATTGTCATTCGTTTTCACATTTTAGTTTTGTATTACGAGTTTTTGGTTTAAATGAATTGTGATAATCTTTTAGTGCGAATAATCTTTTAGTGCGAAGTGTACAAGATAGCTTAATAGCCGCAAAAAACTCATCGCCACCTTATTAGGATATTCTGAATGGAAAGTAATGGCCCTTTATGTCCCTTAAGTGCTGTTAAGAATGTCAGTTTTGCTGATGTAAATAATAACTGTTTATATATTTATAATGAATTTATTTTTGTTTCCCGAAATACACACACCGGAAAAGTCTAGGGATATTACAATTTTATGCAGCCATCGTCAGTAATTTTATTATTTGCATTTCTGATATAATAAAATTAAAATAAACAAATAGTTTACAGGACGTATTGGAAATAAAAATGCGAAATTTACCGAATTTTTCAAATTTACCTTGATTTTTATTGAACTCAAAAAAATACACACATTTTTTTTATTCTAAACTGTGAATTAAAAAAGATAAAACCATTTTTACTCTTCTACTGTTCATTACAGCCCTACAACGTCTCTCCATGCTCCTGATCAGGTTGTCGATCTCTTCTTGATGTACAGCCTGCCACGCTGCATTCACGGCCCGAACCAGATCCCTACGAGTTTCACGAGGCATACCCATTCTCAAAATTCTTCTTTGGACCGTGTCCCATACGTGCTCGATGGGGTTGAGGTCAGGAGATTGTGCCGGCCAGGGTAAGATTAATTGATGAGCATTGATAAACTCACTTACCACTCTGGCTGTATGAGGCCGTGCATTGTCATGCATGAGAATGAAGTTTCTCCCAAAATCAATGGCATATGGTAACACGACAGGCTCAAGAATTAAATCACGATATGTGATTCCTGTTAGAAACCTTTCAAGAAAAACAAGATCGGTTTTTCGGCCTAACTGAACTCCTCCCCAGACCATAACTGTTCCACCTTGATAAGGGTGCACTTCCTGAACATGATCCAACCGAATAAGATTTCCCGGTTCTCTCCATACCCTAAGCCTTCTCGAATCTGGATGAATTCCAAAGCGTGACTCATCCGTGAAAAGAACATTTGCCCATTGTTCATTCGATCACTGAACATGATCTTGAGCCCACAAATATCGTACCTCTCGATTTCTCTCGTTAAGGGTTGAGCTCTCCAGGGGCGTCTGCTTCTTAAGTTAACCTCTCTTAATCTATTGCCAACAGTGTCAGGACTAACGGTTACATTATGTGTTTCCTGGAGAATTAAACTAAGCTATGGTGCTGTAAGAGTCGGTCGGCGTCGAGCATTTAATTGTAAAAAATGATCTTGCTGAGGGGTAGTAATGCGATGTCGCCCTGTGTGCCTTTCAGCAACATCACCACTTTCACGGTACCGTGTACTTAATCGCGATATTACACTTTGCGTTGTATTTAATGCTCTAGCTACATCGATTTGGCGCATTCCAGCTTCGAGCATACCCATGGCCCTTAGCATTTCGTCTCTGTTAAGATGTCTACGCTCCATAATGTCGTTTAATACTAAACAGAGTTATTTGAATGAATTCTGGCCAGTTATCATAAAACATAGCTAGTACAGGTAAAATTCGAACAATTGATGCTAGGTGCTTTTTATACATTTGACAAAAAATGGAAAAACACTTCTGCAAATATCCCAAATTTGGAAATAACTAGTGTGACTACTTCGTTTCAATCGAAGTAGAAAGAATCGGCCTACAAATATGTGGTTGTTTATTCAAAACATTTATTTTTAACTTTAATAAAATGATATCCCTAGATTTTTCCGGTGTGTGTATTTGAGAGCTTGGTGTGCTTTTCTATGTCTATATTCTCTCTAGTTTATTTTATATTGCGTTTTCTAACCTTTTTTAGCTTTTGAACCGAAAAAAGTACAAATCTGAGAGGACATTGTACTAGGACTTAATAATAATAGTAACTAATGGTTGTTTGTATAGTTAATCAACATTATCTTGTTGAATCATAATAATATATTTCTTTGGTTAAAAAATCAACTGTATCAGCATTATTTCTTATTTTGCTGTTTGATAATATATATTTATGTATCTATACTTACACTGTTTGTATTGCCTTCAAAAGCGTCCTCTTGGCTGTAGTAGCGATGATTGAAATTCAAAGGTCCATGATTATGGTGGCTGAAATCATGATGGTGGTGATCGTGGGAGTGGAAGTTTCCGCCAGGACCCACATCTTTGTGAAGAAAAAAGTCGTTGGGATAAAATCTGAAATTCACAAACTTTTATTTACAAACGTTTCACTTACTGGCATCAATTGATACAAAACGAGATAATAACAATAATTAGGTGACATGCGAACGCTTAAAAACATACAAAATATGACCAGCTGGTACTAAATAGGCTTTGCTAAAACTAGAATCATAAACTACACAATTTATAAGTATACGAGTTGCAGTTATTCAACAGTGAAAAATTTATTCACTCTATGCAAAATATTTTCCCTTGTGAATAAAAACCTCCTTTTATTCCCATGTTGCTCATTGTAAACATTTATTGTATTGCTAATATATCTTTCTTAAGAGTCCATTTTAGAGGTGGGAATTCTAGTTCCTTGGGAGGAACTAGTTCCTTAGTTCTAGTTCCTCCAGAGGAATAGTTCCTTGAACTAGGTCTTTAGTTCACAATAGTTCCCGACTAATTCCTTAGTTCTAGTTCCTCCAGAGAAATCCCATATAGCACGTCCAAATGAAATTACGTTTCTACAAGAGAGAAACATGAGAAACAACATATGTTAAAGTGAACCTAAGTGTTCATCTAGTTCTAACATATACATATGACATACATGCAGGTTTATATTGATAGAATTGTGTGATACAGTGTTTACTAGTTGTATACACTCAAGATTTTAAAGAGTTTTTTGTAACGTAACAAATAATTATTAAAATGATGAAATCTGACGTCGGTATATGAGACATACAATGTATAAGTCATATGTATGTGTGATACTTCGTATCATAGTTGTGCCTATAGTACACACCTTGTAAAAATATGACGTATACACATAATATAAATATACAGTTTTCTGAATTTCTATTTCATGTTTTTCGTCTCGATTTGTGTCTTTCTCCAGGAAGTTTTTTTATGTAGAAATTTATGAAGAAATTCACAACGACCAAACCGGTTAAAGTCATTTGCAGATGTATTTTGTTTTTTCCAAACCAAACCAAAGTGGTACATTTTTAATTTATAATGTGGTACGCGCTAAAAGTTGGGTGCGGCAACACTGCTAGAAAACAGTCGCTATAGGCCTGTAGACGAACGAAGTATTTAGCCACGGCGGCTCATTTATGTTTGCCGCAACGGGGCCGGAACGTAGCGGATCCGAGGAAAAATGTACACCGACATTTCTTGGACGGGGCACGGACGCGTTCCGGCGAAGCTCGGACTGTGCTCGGCTTAGCATGAATGTATAAATATAAATAACATTTGACAATGTTTGGCCGTGCCTTCACCGTCGCACGGCTCCGGCCCGTCACGGTGTACCGTGAATCATCCTTAATACGAACCCCGTTATCAACTCGGTGTTGCATGTACAGGCAGAAGGATCGGACGTGGCTCGGTGTCTACTTCACGGAACGTGCCCGGCTCGGGCACGGTCCGGTGTACTGTGAATCATCCTTTAGGCAGATTTCTGAAATATAATATATATTTCCTTCGACCACACACCCGCTTTTACCCGACCCCTGAGAGCGACCCGAACAGTACAGCGCCAGCGTAATAGACGCTTTTCGTTTTCTCAGTATAAGCTTTTTGGGCACTTACATGTTGTTGATAGTTAAGACTGTCAAGACATTATATTTTCGTTCTAAAAACTTTTTGGTTTCGTCTTTGGCTAAACGGACCTTAAGGTACCGTTAGCTTTCATGACAGTTCTGGTTTGATACTGTTTGAAATATCCTTTATTGTTAGGAATCTTCAGGAGAGAGTCACACCGGTATTCTTCAGAAGTTTTTTCTTGGTTTCCTTGCAATTGTTTAATTAATTATAATTTTTCTTGGGTAATGTTATTTATTATAGTATCTAGAGATGTCTTGGTAACTACATACATAATGTTATTGATCGTTTGTTCTTAATTATAAATCCAGCTAATATTGTATTAGCTGCAGAATAAAACATTGTTTTAATTTTAAATGCGTCCTATTATTATAAAGTAATTAATATCTGCGGTTTTATATGACTTATATTTACAATAGAATTAATAAATTGTTGTTGCCAACATTAAAATATTTCTTTTATTATCACGTGTATGATTCACTAAGTAATGAATGTAGTGTATGGCAATTATTTATGCGTTACAGAATATATTATGGCGCCCAATAAATAAACCACATATATATCATATACCGGGTGCGTCTCAAAAGTGGCCCATCCCTTTTTTATTTTTTCAGATAAAAAAACGAGATTTGCAATTTTTTTACTATTATTTTTACTAGATTTTCAAATTAGCTGATAATTTGGGAGATACAGAGGCTGACCTGCATTTTTTATTTCAGGTTTTGAAAGAACTCGGTCGCCTAAGTACAATGATATGCCACACTTATACTTTTTTTTGTTTTGTGTACCTTAACAACATTTATTAATTTCAAGTCCGACTCTGGCTTTTTAAATTATTTAATCTGATTATATTCATCGCAATAATATTGATCAGCGCTAATTAACACTGAATAAGAAAAATCAAGTCAATTGAAAGATTCAAACATTAAATAATATCCAGGTCAGCGATTTAAAGATACTATTTTTAACTTTTTTATTGTGAATTTGAAATACCTAATATTAATCGCAGGTATTACAAGTAAATTAACTTCTACAAACTGGTTTCTAATGATCTACATGCCTCGAAAGGGTTATCACCCTCCCTATTGCACAAATTTATTTTTCTTTGAACAGATTTTATACTTCCGAATGCATTTTGTACTCTTTATTGTAGATGCTGAGATGTATTGATTTCACTTTTACAAATGACGTCAAGTAATGCCGCCCTTAGATTATATTATGCCCCCCCCCTAGTGTTTTTCTCACTTATAATATCACAAGAGCTTGTTTCCGAAATTATTTTCGGAAATTTTTTTGAGGGCACGAATATTTTGAAAATTATCCCGAGTCGAAGACGAGGGATAATTTTCCTAAAATATTCGTGCCCGAAAGACAATTTCCAGGAATAATTTAAGCTTGCGTGGTATTCGGTAAGAAAATTTCACACCTAAATTTGAAAAAAAAATATTAATCCAACATGACATTTTAAAATAATTTCAATTTGTTAAGTTGGCCAAGGTATTGATGTTTTTGACATATTATGTGTTTTGTCATTTTTGTTTGCGATTCTGTCATTAAGCTATTACTAGTTTTAAAACGTCTGTACGTAGAGTAAGAAGTGTATAGCGAAATGTCGCGATTTGGAAAAGTAAACCAACAAGTCATTAAAGAAGAAATTGAAAATATAAAACCAGATAACACCCGAAAATCAAAATCAAGTGTATATCCATCATATTTATTTCGTTAAATAGAAAAATACCAGCTTTAGTTAAATAAAGGCGGCAGAACTATATTTTTTAGAACATGGCAATTTCGAAGAAATTCATATGTAGGTATATCTAACATATTTCCTTAAATAAAAATATTACCAACCTTAGTTACATCAAATGCTAAAACTCAAATGGGTAATATTTCAATATATAGACATTGTAGTTCATTCACATTATGATTGTAGATCTTATGTTTACCTTTTCAACTGTCAAAAAATTTCCACTAAAGTTTCGTGGCGCCTCGAAAAAATTTCCGGAAATTTTTTCAGTTGCCATGGCAACTAGTCAACATTAAAGCATGTTATTGGTTGAAAAGTAGAGGTGTGAAATTTTCAGTGTAAGAACTCGATCCATCTCTTATCTACCTATAATAATTGAAATATAAAGCCTGATGTAAACCAATTTCTTAAATGATTTATAGTGTAATTGACATTACTGGCAAGTAAAAAAAAAGTTTAAAGTTAAAGTTTAAAGATTCATTCAGAACCTCGCAATTAGTAGACTAAATTAGTGGTTTCAATTATACTTTATACTTTTTAGTTTACAACAAGTTTACAATCATTCACAACGACTAAAAAACACAATTAAAATTAATAGAACATCCTAGCAACAGTTTGCGGTAATCAGCTGTATCCATAGAGAAAGCCGAATATTTAGCTTATAAAACAATGAACTTTCGATTTCTAACCACATTTTCTCTTGACGAATGATAATCAAAATCCAAAATGACATTCCTCGCATATTTAGACGAATAATTAGTAGAAAAGTTAAAACTTTTTCCACTAATTGTAAATTCCTACCACTAATTTTAACGTTCTGAATGCACACATTCAAATTAGAGGAACAAACTTCTACCCTAATTGAAACCACTAATTTATTCCACTAATTATGAGGTTCTGAATGAAGCCACAAAACATCCCCCTTTAGAACTTCGTCTGTCATGTTAAGAAATGACAGTAAATAATAAAGCGCCTCTCGTGTTTGTTCGCACTCAAAAAATTTCAATTAATGCCTGTATATATTTTCAATATATTTTTTAAATTTACATTTTTTTAATTGTAAAGTAATATATTACATTTACATGGAATATATTACATAACAATTATGCCAATTACAGGATTACAAGCTTGTTTTCTAACATTTTTTAAATAAAACGAATTATAAAATATCAATATATGTATATTTGTCGTAGGTATGAAAAAAGTAAAATATAAAATGGACAAACGCTTACTTACATTTCAATAAAACTTCCACTTATAGTTTTGCAATCCAAACGCAATATTTCTATTTCACAAATAAAAATATCCGACAACACTAAAATCACTGAAACTTCCGCGGCTGACAACGAAAACTGAAAAATATAACGGCACATTTTGTTTTGGACCTGCATATCAACATTACGCTGTACTATTATGTGTTTGTTGTTGAAATAATATAAAATATCTAATTATAACTTGTAAATTTTAATATTTTAACATGATTTTAACTACTTTTGACAATAACTAACTCTTTGTTATCAAGATGACATTTTAGACGGCAACTGACATATATGTCATAATATTTGAATCTTAAATATATGTAAGTAATATAATTAAAATTACTATAATGCAACTTTATACTAAGAAAACATTTATACATTCACAAAATATAACAAAGTCTAATAATATAGTTTGAAAACAATGAATATCGAATTAAAATTGAATTGTGTCAAAATTAGATGATTAAATTTTTGCAATTTTTACACCATTTGATGACCGGTGGCGCCTCTAGTGTTTGTTCGGGCGGTTGGTCTTTTACTCCCGCTTATGGCCATTAAAGAAAAAGTTCTAAAGGGGGATGTTTTGTGTATGACAATGACATAACTCCACATATTCGCCGACTAGATTATTATAATTATTATCGCCCACTGTATTTTAACGCTTAAGAAGAAACATTTTTTGAGGGTCAACATCGGAAAAAAAGTCTCTCAAAAGGTTCTCTGGAGGTGGCGTTAAAAACTACTAAATTTCAATTTTTTGTGTTGACTGTTTTTGAAGAGTCAATAAAAAGTCATGTGAATTTGGTTCACCCTATACATATATCGAAAAATAATTTTAGGAAAACACCAAAAATTATAAAAAACAATTAATTAGATATCTAATTTTTAAAGCGACAAAATAAATATTCTACAAATACAATAATAACATTAATAAAAACTCTATAAGTGAAAGTTATTAAATAAACAAGAAACAATCTCAGCTTTAACATATTTCTGAAAATATTCTATTACAAATTAAAAATAAAAAACACAAATTCTACAAACCCATATCCACTATTTCGTTGTCCACTGGTGTACAACGGCCTGTCATGTCCATGTCCATCATCCTCACTATTCGAACACTTAACCAACACCAGAACAACACAAAAACACTTCACTAGCCACATCTCGCACGTCTTTTCAGTACTTTTCTTAACACTTTGGTACCGATTCTAATCACAAAACTCACAGAATTCTCTCAGTTTGAAACGAAAAATAAAAATAAAAGTCGTAACGTTGGAGCAGGTTTCTCGAAGAGTGGTACCAGGCAAGTACTACATTGACACTGACGGTGTGGTATTTTTAATTTGTCGATATTTTTACGTAGTAGGTACCCGCGTTGCGTGTAGATACGGTACCGAGAGGTTTCCTTGAACTTGGTGAGGTCGGTACTGTATTTTTTTTATGATGGATATAAGAAAGGTTGTTAGATATTATAGTTAGATTTTATAAGGTCGTTATTGATCTATATTTCACCGCCATATACACACATGGCCAAAATTATTGCATAATATATCGTTTAAAAATATACGGAAAGGAATTTAAAGAATCTTTTTTATACATAGCTTTGATAATGTGTAATAAACAGTTTTTTGTTAAAATGGATATGGTAAACAATGTTTATCGTTCAGATCCAATATTATTACAAATTCTCTTGGGTTTCAGAAGAAATTTGACCATTGTTTTGACCTTAAAATGCCTAGAAACATTATTTCACAGTTTAATAGAGTCAGAATAGTAACACTGTCTCAACAGGGCTACCGGCAAGTTTCAATAGCTGAAATTGTAGGAGTTAACCAAATACGTTCAAATAAAATATACGGAGGGTACCGCTTAAATTCCTGTCCCGATGTTGAAGGATGGCTATAGAATGTCAATGCATTTCCTACATAAGTCTATCCTTGTTCGGGAGGAGGTTTTCTGCGCTTGCTTGATCTGTAAGCACTTTGATTGGACAGTTCCAAATCATATGATATGTTTTGTTTTGGTTTTATTTTTATTTATTTTAAGTTGAGGTTAAAGACGTTCTAATAATTGAATTAAATCTTTCGAAAAATTGGAAGCTTTTTGTTAAATATTCTGAAATCAAATAAGTTTGATAATGTAACATTATGCGCATATTTATCAATTGAGATATTTTAATCGTATCCAACAAAAGTTTTCAGATATCTTCGATTTAGTTATTTTCGAATGTTTATTTTGTTTATATCTATTACAAACTCAAGGAGCAACAGTTTTTTACAAGTAGTGTTAATTTTGATGCTGGTGCAATACTTCTACTCGTTAAAATAAGTTTATTATAAATATTACAGACATTTAAAAGAATAGGCTATGGAATATAGGTATATAGAAATTATTTTATATCTGTCTCACAATGGGGGGCTCCTAGTAGCGTAATAGGTATCTGCAGTGCGATTCTGTAAACATTTCCCTGTCTAGTGACTCATCAATCGTATACAAATAGCATAGGCTCGATAGGAAATTTCTTGCTACAGAGCTTACAGAATCCCATTGCTGATTTCTAAAATTCTTTTTCTAGATAGGCTTCCCGCATCGTAAAAACTCCTATTTTATGGTATGTAATTAGTATTCTGAAGGTATTAAAATATTTTAATATCAATATAGTTTTTTCACTGAAACTCGAGTTAAATCTTAATATACATTATTCATATTGTCGTTTTAGAGATTGTGCTTTTATACTTACTATTATGAAAATTTACTGAATAAAATATATAGTTGCAATCCTTTTACTGAACTCCTTAATTTCTTGTTTTATGAGGGGATAATTTTTGCTTATTTAGGTACTAATTTTAATCAGACCATTTTTTAATGAACTCATTTATATTTATATCATATCGTTCTAAGTAGACTTTGTTGTGTTAGACAATTATTATTAAATAAAACGAATGAAAAAAAGTGACAGGTACGATATTTTTTTTTTAAATTCAAAAAATAATTTAGTAAAACCACAATTATTAAGAAATTGTCTTAAAAACTTCGTAGTACAAATTGCATATCTATTTCACTTTTTTTAAAATTCAAAAAATAATTTAGTAAAACCTCAATTAAGGAACTGTCTTAAGAACTTAGTATTACAAATTGCATATCTATTTCACTCGACTTAAAAATTGCAGCAAAACAAAGTATAACAGTACATTTTTTACTGTCTATTGTTTCTTTTACTGCCCATGTATTTATGATCAATAATCAACATCAGTCCTGGTTTAAAATGAAACAAAAGTAATTCTTTATTATTAACATATCTTTTATTAAACAAATATAACGTACATATTAAGTTTATACATAAATCAAGCTAGATACAAAAAATATAATTATTTACATTGTTGCATTGTAAATACTTTTTTATATTATGAAAAAAAAACAATAATAATTTACAATAAGACAGTCTGTGTGTAACTGTGTAAGCATTATAATTAGCCTTATGTAGTATCTATTTTTAGTCTTTACATTATAATGTCTTTTTTATTTTAAAATACCTAGTAAGACTAAATATAATGCTTTTAACAATTATTGATTTTTGAATAAAATTAGTTTCGTATATTTTTGTCTTATATTAACATCCCTTTTATTTCTGATTTTGCTTTCATGATACAAACGAACATCGAGAAAAATTTCTATTATTAATTGTTAGTTGGCTTCTACCACACAAAAAGCAGTAGCCCATTCCCATTGTTCTATTAATTAAACTACAGCAAAAGTCTTTAAAACTAAATCACAAAATTGTCAATAAACGCACAAAGATTAAAATCATTAAAATACAAACGAAAACACAGTACACGTGGAAAACACAGAAAGTTAGAGAAAACACTAATAACACTAATGGCGACTGCCCAAGTCCAAACTGAAAACAAAATCCACGCCGACAACGCGTCCAAAAATAAATCGATAACCCATCTCGACACCATTCGGCCAATAGAAAAGTAGCATTTCGGCGCATGTGCATTACATCCAGCTACTGAACAAGGATGGACTTATGTCAAACTCGATCTTCTGTCCTTCAATTCTGGGACATAAATTCTCTCATTGCTCTTATGGGGAGGCCGCGGTATATGTAAATTTAAACGTATTTGGAGTTAACCAAAGCGATGTTTCGCGAATATTAAAAAAATTTATGGAGACAAACGAGGTTATTGACCGGCCTGGAAGAGGTAGAAAGAGAGTTACTACTGCTGTGCAAGACCGTCAAATATCCCTAATTGCACGACGCAATCCCCTGCTTTCTAGTACTGCTATTAAAAATGAGTTAGTTCGCCTTGAAGGAGTAAATGTTTCAAGAAAGACCATACCAAGAAGACTCCATGACAGAGGATTACATTTAAGGAGGTCTCTACGTGTTCCTAGCTTAATTTACAGTACAAAATTACGATACCACAATGGGCTGAGTAGATGAGAGTAAATGGACCTAATTGGAATTTCGTCATGTTTAGTTATGAAACAAGAATAGGCTTAGTGTCAGACTCGCGACGAACTTTGGTCTGGAGAGCATCTGGAAGACGAGCACGGTTGAATGCAGTTCAACCCAAGGGGGAAGCATTATGGCATGGGCAGTATTATGCACGGAGCTCGAACTCTCTCTTGTTTTTATTGATGGCACAATGACAGGTGCCTCATATCTTAGAGACGTTTTAGAGCTTATTGTGCGTCCATTTCGAGGGGCAGTGGGGGATGAATTTGTTTACATGGACGATAATGCTCCTCCCCATCGCACTTTAGCGGTTCGCGAATTTTGTGAGGAAGAGGGTATAAGAAAACTGTAGTGGCCACCGATGTCTCCAGATATTAATGTGATCGATCCCCCGTACCTTAAGTGAATTGAAAATTGCTGCGCGCGAAACATGTGAAGCCATTCCTCAACATCTTCTGGACAACTTAATTGAGAGCATGCCACGTCGTCTCACAGCTTGCGTTGAGGCTCGAGGAGGCAATACAGACTATTAGTTGTGAGAAATAATTAAAATTGTTTTCAATATTTTCTGTTGATTTTCACTCATTATGAAATAAAATTATAATAACGGCCTAGTTGCACTTAGATTTTTAATTTTATATTAGTTAGTCGTGTAGTAAGCCAATATATCATAAAATATAAAAAGAATCATATTAGGTCCAAAATAGAATAAAAATATCGTTATATGCAATAATTTTGGCCCATGCGTGTATATTTCATTTCATATAGTCTCTCTTTCTGGAGTTATAACTCATCATACACTCTTATTAGAGCTTTGAGAAAAGCCAGTATCTGAGACGGACTTTACAGAGGTTGGTTCTTCATCTATAGTTTATGACACGAATGGTTGTCGTCTCCAACTAAACATTCGAAATAATCACAGTCCCAAAAAATGAAATTTTTTTACTTTTTTGCAAAAAAAAATGGAGACTATGGAAGAAGTTCTATATTAAGAAGTGTTATTATAAAATACAGTTTTGTTTGGTAGACAGAGTGCAATCAATAAGATTGATCTGATAGAAATTGTCGGTTGTCTTTTCAAAGGTCACTATGACACTTTGAAAAAAAAATGAATAAAATTTCAGAAAATCCAGGTGCATAAGCACTGAAATCTGATCATATAACACTTTTTTGGAATATACAAGATTCCAAGAATATAAAAGATATGTTAATATCATTTCTGATTTTATATACTGATTTCTTTGATTCTTTGAAAATCTTGGGTTTTGCGAAATAATAAAAAAAACATTTTTATGTATTGTTTTTTTAATCTTCTTTTTACTTACGAAACAAAATAGAAATATTAGTTTATGCGATTTAAGATATTGATTTTTTCATGCATTTTCATTGATTGAATAGTTTATTTATTCGATTTTTTTCTAATCGTTTGTGTTTTTGCAGTTGTGTAACTAAAAAAAGCTTACATAATATTTCACTATAATATAAATTTAATATAACTAAAATAAATATTTAATATTGTTGTAATAAAAAGTACATAAACTCTCATGGGAATTTCAGCAAAATTTCTATATTGTCATTTAGTCCTATTGCATATGGATAAGTAGAATAATAAATATTTATAGGAAAAAATCCTGTGCAGTAACATGTGTGGTTATTATTTATAAGTGCCATATAGATTGCAAATTGAATATAAGTAGCTTACTGTAAGTATTTTATTAATATATGAATCATACTATAGACGATACATTATTTAAATTAAATTAAAAAAAGAGTAGATGTAGGTGTAGATTGTATGGGACATGGTTAATCACATCGCGATTTTATAAATATATTGTATCCTCCTTTCTTGAGTTATAACTCGTCATACAGTCCCAGGGCTTT